AAAATCGCATAACAGCCGAGCATACACCCAGCAGCGCTGCTGATGCCTGAACGGTATGTGGAATGAAGTGGGCGGGCATCGGGAGGCCACTATGGCACGGGGCAAGCACTATGGGCAGTCTATCTGAAGTGTACCTGGCGTATAAGACGACCCCCCACTTGGAGGCATATTTTTCAGGGCCAAAAAATCGTCTTATACGCCGGCAAATACGGTACATATCTGGAGCTGTAAACTTTCATAAAGGGAAAACCACAGGGGGATTGTGGAATCCAAGTCTTAGGTTTCAGCTTACCGTTTTATTTTAGCTGGCGGCGGCAGCTGAAATTGATGAAGAACCAGTCAGTAAAGCAAAACAGAGCCGGAGTGAAAAGAAGGCACGGAAGGTAATACTTTAAGTTATAAACAAGGACTGATGCCCAGGGACTTCCTTTTTTTTTTTTTTTTTTTTTTTTTTTTTTTTTTTTTGAAAGACCATTTCTGATGAAGCAGCTTCAGAGGAACAGACTCTGGGTGGGAGTAGAATCGTGTTTAGTTAAAGTAACAGAAGCTGTTGTGGCAGGAAACCCAGAAGTCCTGGGAATATGAGAGAGAAACATCGATCAGCTGCCTCCTGCACATCCCCCACTGGGGATGTGCCCGCAACCCAGGTACATGCCCTTGACCGGAATCGAACCCGGGACCCCTCAGTCCACAAGCCGACGCTCTATCCACTGCGCCAAACTGGTTTCGGCCCATTCTGTATTCTTACATAAACTTTTCTTAGCCCAGAAAAAGACTTTCTTTTGGATGTGGTGTTACTGTGGTCCTTACTTCTTGGCGCTGCTTCTAAAAAATTTGAAAACCTGATGTTCTTTTGTTCCTTAGGCGATGTCCAAACTGGGTCTTCGGCAGGTTACAGGGGTTACTAGGGTCACTATACGGAAATCTAAGAATATCCTCTTTGTCATCACAAAACCAGATGTCTACAAGAGCCCTGCTTCAGATACCTACATAGTTTTTGGTGAAGCCAAGGTAAGGAAAGTTTTCATGGGAATTGCTCTAGACCAGGGTTTCTCAAGCTCAGCACCATTGATATTTTGGGTCAGTAATTCTTTGTTGTAGAAGGGCTGCCCTATGCATTGTAGATGTTTTATTTAGCAGGATCACATCCAGTTGTAATTTTAAAAAAGCAAAAACGAAAAAACTCCAGGTATTGGACAAATATCCCCTCCCGTTGAAAATCACTGCTTTAAACATAAGCTACTTCTACAGTGATCTATAATCTGAGTGAGGGCAAACTATTTAAAGCTATATAGCTATAGTAAGTTAACCTGAAGTGAGTTTAGAGTGCAAGTTTGGAAAATATGTAAATGATTTCTTTCACTTACTACAGACAGATCTGTTCACATGCATCTCTTATTTTCTGTTCTACAGATTGAGGATTTATCTCAGCAAGCACAGCTAGCAGCTGCTGAGAAATTTAAAGTTCAAGGTGAAGCTGTCTCAAACATTCAAGAAAACACACAGACTCCAACTGTACAAGAGGAGAGTGAAGAGGAAGAGGTATATAAGGAAATCTTTTATACTTTTAATTCTCTCCAGGTAGTATTATGTTTGTATTGATGGGTGGGTTCTATATTGTTTTAGTCTCGTAAGTCCCATTGAGTGAAATAGTTTTTGAGTTAAGACTGACTCCAACAAACTATACTGAAGTTGTTCTTGCCTTTAGTTTATTACATGTGTTTTTCCCTCTCTCTCAGGTTGATGAAACAGGTGTGGAAGTTAAGGACATAGAATTGGTCATGTCACAAGCAAATGTTTCAAGAGCAAAGGCAGTCCGAGCCCTGAAGAACAACAGTAATGATATTGTAAATGCTATTATGGTAAGTGTCCAAGCCTTGATTCCTGACTCCCTGTAGTGACCTGACCAATTATGGGTGACTTGATTTTCTTATGTTTATTATCAGCCAATTAGGAAACCTCATTCCAAAGCCTGTCTTGAGTTGCCTTAAATTTTAGTGACCTGAATTCTGTCAGTTTGCCTATTATACCTCTGATTATCTCTTTTCTCTTACAGGAATTAACAATGTAACCATCTAAAAAGGAAGACCCTTTTTTGTGTGTTCCAGAAGAGTTACTGCAGCTTGGTTTGAAATTTGTACTGTTTCTATCATTAATAAAGTTATGGCTTCTTGTGGGGTGAACTTAGTGGGTGCTTGATCTCTTCCCCCCAGAAAGCAAAAAGACTCTAGAAATGAAAGCACATTTATTACTCTTAAGACCTCAGCTTCAGTTGAAAAGATCTAATGCCACAGATTACCCCTTAAAATCTCAGCCTTTTCCTTTCTGGTAAGAAGGAAAGTATTGTATGTACAGGCTATCTGTTAAGACCTTTTTTCCTTCTTTTTTTTTATCTTTATTGTTGAAAGTATTACATATGTCCTCTTTTATCTCCCATTGACACCTTATAGCTCACCACAGGCCTTTGCCACCCTATTGTAGGACCTTGTCTTCAGAGACTACAACTTGAATTGTTATATTTCTTTTTTTTTTTTTAATTGTTATATTTCTTGTTTTCAGTTTCTTTCCCAGATGTTAAGCATTATCATATGCTGATTCTTCTTTATTTAATAATCAGCTCCTTCTCTAACCTGCAATCTTTCTGAACACTTTGGACCTTATCTTTCCTTTATGAGAGGCAGTGCACATTGGTTACATTTTGACATGTAAGAGCTTGATAGAGGATTGGAGAGATTGCATCATGGATGTGATGAAAAGACCACACTTTGTAGAACATCAGAAGCTACCTTATGAAGGGAAGGATTTTGATTATTATATACAATGCAAACACTGTGCTCTCTCAAATTTTAATCTGCAAAGTAAATTATGATTAGGGTAGCCTTAATCATGCTAAGACAATGAGTGAAAACCAGAACTATACCAGGCAAACGTACATGTGATTACCCAGTTTATGATAAATATAAATAGTGCTATAGAAGTCCTAAGAAGAGTAAAGTTAAACTTTCTGGGTTTAGGTTGTAATGTGGTCTGGGGTAAAGCAAGGAACTAAACTTTGGGAATAGGAAGGCTATAAGTAATTTAAAGGAAGAATCTAAAATGAATAAGTGATACACCTAGAAGGAATGTTAGAAAGGAAGATTAACATCATGGAAGATTTTTGGACCTAAAACTTATACACATTTTATTGAATCCAGTCTTCTCGGTTCCTATGAGAGTATTATTTTAGTGATGTGAAAGTTAAGTATCAAAGAGGTTAAATAACTTCCCCAAAGACAGTCACTAAAAGTATTGTATGTACCTTTTCTTTGTGGCAGGCTATCCTGGAGAAGCACAAATTGACTTCTGACTGGGAATGATGTCCTGCTTCCATTTCACTGGGATAGAACAGATTAGTTTTATTAGGCTAACAATAGGCCCCTAGGCTGCCAAAACTGAGACAGCCAGTAATTCTCACTTCAGGAAGAAACTTAGGCATACTGTATTAACTCAAAATTTTGTCATCCTTCCTTCTGTACAGTTAACAAACTGTCAATTATTGGTTACTTTATTAGAGAATTGTATTGTTCAAGGCTATTACAGCCACCAGTGCTGTAGTTCTGTTTTTTCCCACCTCAAGGACCTTGCTATTGCTAACCCTTTCTACCATTGATTCCTTTCCCTTCACCATTTTTCCCACCATCCTTGAAATGTACAACTAACTTTCTTTGTCACAGAATGATTATGGGGTGTATAGGTTAAACCTTTTGACGAGGAATTACTCCTTCCTGGTTCTCAAACTGATTAAATACCTGTGTTCAAATATTCGGTAGACCATTTAACAATGATATCTTAACGTCTGGCTTCATCTATAAAAATAGGCCTACTATAAAATGTATAGGATTGTTGAAAGTATTTGCTTAAGAATCTGAAACTGGCACAGGTTTACTAACTGACCCTTATTTTTGGGGGGGAATGTAGTGGACCAGTTATAGTTCCTTAGCTATATTCTCACCATGTTTCTACCACTCACTTAAAAATTGATTTTTTAAATTATTGAATATTTGAAAGCATGTCTTCCTGCAAATTGCTTTTCACTTCAACTTTATTTCCAAGAAGTATCAATGGAGATAGATGTAGTTCTTTCCATTACCTATCCAATCCACTGTAGTCTGGCTTTTAACCTTTACCTCTCCACCAAATAAATAGTTCTCATCAAGGTCACCTAGTTGCTAATTCCAGGGGACACTCTTCATGCATGGCTACATTTGTCTTTTCCTTCCTCAACTTAGTGTCTTTAACATCATTCTTGATTTCTCTCAAATCTGATTCATTTGAGATCCACAAAATTAGTTCCATTATCTACCCCATCTAAATTTTTCCATATGTATTTCCTGCTAACATGAACGACACAGCTATCCATTTGGTCATACAAAAAGGAAACCTAGTCTTTGGAACTAACAATGTTGGGGAAATGATATCCATGAGTGAAAGAATGAACTACAAGTGGATCAAAGACCTAAAACCATAAACTCAAGAAAATTGGAAAAGCTTCATGTCATTAACACCAAAAACAGGCAACAACAACAAAATTGAATTTCACCAAAATTTATCTGTCAAAGGACACAAGTCAACAGTAATAAGGCAACCCACAGATTGAAAAATACTTGGCAATAAGGGATTAATATTCAGACTATATAAAGAACAAAACACTTAAAAATGGGTCAAGGACTTAATGTACCGCTCATGCATTAGAAAAATGACTATCAAAAAATGAGTTGCCCAGCCAGTGTGATTCAGTGGATTGAGCACTCCTGTGCACCAGGATGTCATGGTTTAATTCCAGTCAGGGCACATGCCAAGGTTGTGGGCTCAATCCCCAGTAGGGGGCGTACAGGAGGCAGCCAATGAATGTTTCTTAAAATCAATAAAAACATTTTTTTAAACGAGTGTTGGTAAAGATGTAAAATTAGAACCTCTGCACTGTTGATGGGAGTATAAAGTGGTGCAGCTGCTATGGAAAGCAGCATGGGAGTTTTCAACAATTACCATGTGATCTAGCAATTCCATTTCTGGGTGTGTGGGTTTTTAATATGTTTTATTGATTTCAGAGAGGAAGGGAGAGAGAAACATCGATGAGAGAGAATCATTGCCTCCTGGACACCCCACAAAGGAGTGACCCTGCAAACCAGGCATGTGCCCTGACCCAGAATCAAACCATGACCTCCGGGTTCATAGGTCAGTGCTCAACCACTGAACCACACCAGCCAAACCACTTCTGGATATTTAATTGAAAGCCTCAGAGATGTGTACACCCAATCAGCATTATTCACAGTAGCCAAAAAGTAAAAGCAACCTAAGTGCTCCTCACAGAGGAATGAATAAACAAAATGCGTGTGTATATATCCTATATAATAAAAGGCTAATATGCAAATAGACCAAATGGCCAAACAACCCGCTATGAGGTGTGCTGACCACCAGGGGGCGCACACGGAACATGGTGGGCCAGTGGAGCAGGTGAGGAGGGGCACCAGACCAAGGCAGAACTGGGGTTACTGTCAGGGCGAGCCTCTGATGGTTACTGAAAATTCTTTGCTCCTGTGTGCCATGGTCCTGCCCAGCACTCGCACCTGCTGCCAGTGCAGGAGCCACTGCTCATACCCATTGCCGGCACAGGCCCCAATCGTCCCTCGGGGGTTCTCCACCTCCCTCTGTTCCTAAGGAGTGATGGGGGCAGCAGCCACTGCTTGCACCTGCTGCTGGCGCTGGCCCAAATCACTACCAAACAGGGCTGCTGGCAGAGGAGCTGGGGGGGGAGGGGCACGGAGGATGGGTCAAGACCCACCCCTGTGCCCACCACAGCCTCATGACCTACAGTTCCTTTCAAGGTGCACAAATTCATGCACTGAACCCCTAGTTATATTTATAATGGGATATTATTCAGCCTTAAAAAAAGGAAATTCCACAACATGGATGAACCTTGAGGACATTAAGCTAAGTGAAATAAGCCAATCACAAAAAAACAAATATGATTCCACTGAGATTAGTCAAATTCATAGAGACCAAGTAGAATGGTGGATGCTGGGGGCTGAGGAAAATTGTTTAATGGTGCAGAATTCCAGTTGCAGAAGATGTAGTAGCTCTAGGGATGGATAGTGGTGATGGTTGGAAAACAATGTGAACATACTTAAGTAATCAACTGAACTGTACATTTTATGTTAAGTGTATATTTTTATTTTTTAAATCTTTATTGTTGAAAGTACTACACATGTCCCCTTTTCCTCCCATTGCCCCCTTCTAGCCTGCCCCCATCCCCTGCCCCAGGCCCTCAACTACCCTATTGTCTGTGTCCATGGGTTATGCATACATGCATACAAGTTCTTTGGTTGATCTCTTCCCAACCACCCACCCAGTTTTAAAGAGTGTATATTTTTATTTTTTAAATCTTTATTGTTGAAAGTACTACACATGTCCCCTTTTCCTCCCATTGCCCCCTTCTAGCCTGCCCCCATCCCCTGCCCCAGGCCCTCAACTACCCTATTGTCTGTGTCCATGGGTTATGCATACATGCATACAAGTTCTTCGGTTGATCTCTTCCCACTCACCCACCCAGTTTTAAATGAAAGAAACCTATGTCATCCTAATCCTGTCACAGGCCCCTTTTTCATAGACATTCCCTACCAGATTTTCAAAATATTTCTGTTTATCCCCCTCTTCATTCTTAATGTCATTGCCTTAATTAGAACTGCCTGGATAGGCTATTGCTATAGTCTTTTGTTCTACCCTCCACTCAGAATCTGTCTATGAACTTGCCTCCATAAGGTGGGCTGGTTCTAAAATCCTCTCCCACTAAAAGCCCATTGAATAAAGCAGCAACTTTCAAACTTTAAATCATTTAAGTCATTAAACATTTTGTTCAAAATAAGTCAAATCAAATTTCTAGCCCTGGCCAGTGTGGCTCAGTTGGTTGTGTGTCATCCTGTGCACCAGAAAGTCACTGGTTTGATTCCCGGTCAGGGTACATGCCCAGGTTGTGGTTGGATTCCCAGGTGAGTGTGCAGGAGGCAACCAATTGGTGTTTCCCTCTCACATCAATGTTTCTCTATCCCTCTCCCTCTGTCTCTAAAATCAATAAAAACTTTTTTAAAAATCTGTTAAACTGGTTCAAGAACTAGGTCTAAAGCCTTTCATACTCAGTCGATCTTAC